TTTTCAGTTTATTTCATTTAATATTATTTTGCATATTAAAACATTTGCGTAACTAATTTTTTATCCTACAATCTTTCTTGTAGTTGTATTTTTATTAAACGTTTTTTTTATAAGAATAATGAAAATAATAATGGAATAAAATTTAAAAATTAATTTGAACGTGCCTATGGCGGTAGGCATGCAATAGCCACATTAGGAATTTGAAAATAAAAATAAATAAGTTGGATGAGATGGTATGGGGTAAGATGATTAAAAACAAACAAACCGATAATAGCAGGTAATGAAATTTCGCGAAACTGAATTGCAAAAGTAAAATGAAAAAATTTCGATAAGTAAAAACTATTTGATTATGTCGGTTTATTTTGTAGAAGACAATTGAAATGAAGAAATTAACATCGAGTAAATGTTTTTTACCTATCTTGTTCATTCATCTTATTCATAAAAATTCTTAAAAGTGCAATAGTCATTTGAATGCATGTCTAAAACAACAGGCAGTTTAGCTTAAGGTCTCAACAAACCAAAACACAAAATAGCAAATGACATCAACAACATCATAATCAACATCATCTTCATCTTCGTCATCGTCACCCTCACCAACAAAACAGCAGCAGCAGCAGCGCCAACGTTAACAGCATCAACAGTGTAACGTGTAATATGATTTGCAAATTGAAGAAAAAATAAATTATCGCTCAGAGATTCTGAAAATTTTCGGCATAGGAAGAAAAATAAAAAAAAACCATCAAAATTTCTAAATCTGCGTAAAAATATGAAGAAGAAACAAAATAGGAACAATAAATAGTTCAGAGAAGGCAATTCCCTCACTTTCTCAACGTTTTTGCCTTATTTTGACATAAAAAACAATGAAAAATTTCAAAAAAACCTTTTTATTTACTTATCCACCCATGCGTAATTAACACACGTGGTTGTGTGGAGCTCTCGCGCTGAAATAAATATCCCCTTTTCCACCTGAATAAATTTTCATGTCTTCATTAATCCCGCGGCTTTGAACCTGTAGCATTTCAGACTGCTTGTTTATTGCCCGGACTGCGTTATAAAATATATTTCTCTATCTCCATCTCCTTCCTGAGATTTAAATGGATGGCGCAGTTAAGCATAATTTGCAAAATTTTATTTATTTTCTTTTTGAAGATTTTTTAAAGTGTTCAAAATTTTTTAGTTTACTTTACTTACAGAGGTTTTGTTCATAAAAATGGAACTTTAATTGATTTGATCGAAATAATGTATTAAACGTAATAATATTTGAATTGAATGTACGTACATTTAAAAAATTGCTTAAACTCGATACCATCCGGCTTTAAATCTCTCATTCCTATATATCTAGCTTCATTGATGAGACAGACGTCCTTCAATAAACTAGCATCTAAGACAACAAATCCAGATGATTCCATGCAACTTCCTACTCAACTAGCAAACCTCTGATGTGATACACGTATGGTATTAT